ATTTTTGTTAGTTGCATGAATTCAAACTACCCCGCCATTTAAAATATCACTTTCCAATATAGTCATGTGGTAAGTCATTTTTTTTTCATATGTTTCCTTTCTACTTCTATTTATTCATATTTATATGGCCATATTCTGGGGTCATTTTCTTTTGGTATATGAAACTGATATAACCTAGTATTCTAGCTAAAATCTTCTACTGTGCATTTTGGAGTAGTTGTAGCTACTCTGGGTTTATCACCTCGGTTTCTAAAACTTAACCCCTAAAACTTAGGGGTTCTCAAGATGGCTCAGCAAGTAAAGATGTTTGCTTCCTTTCCTGACAACCCGAGTTCTATACCCATGTGCTGGCTAATTTTACAACAGCTTGGCACAAGCCAAAGTCAATTGGATAGCCTTAATTGGTAACCTTAACTGAGAAAATGCCTTCATTAGATTGACCTGTGTTGCATTATTATTATTATTGTTGTTGCTGTTCCTAATGATGGTAATAATTGATATGGGAAGACTCAGCCCATTGTGGGTGGTGCCATCCCTGGGCTGGTGATTCTGGGTGCTGTAAGAAAGCAGTCTGAGTAGCCGGGCGATGGTGGCGCACACCTTTAATCCCAGCACTCGGGAGGCAGAGGCAGGCGGATCTCTGTGAGTTCGAGACCAGCCTGGTCTACAGAGCTAGTTCCAGAACAGGCTCCAAAGCCACAGAGAAACCCTGTCTCGAAAAAAAACCAAAAAAAAAAAAAAAAAAAGAAAAGAAAAAGAAGAAAGCAGTCTGAGCAAGCCATAAGAAACAAAACAGTAAGCAGCCCTCCTCCATGGCCTCTACCTTTGTTCCTGCTTCTCGGTTCCTGCCCTGACTTCCTTTGATGATGTACTTATCGGCTGTAAGGTGAAATGTGTTGCTTTTGGTTGTAGTGTTTTGTCACAGCATAGAGAACCAAGCTAAGACCCCTACAATAGAAGAACCAACTACGACAAGCTACCCTCTGACCTCAACCTCCTGCCCCACATGTACACAATAACTCTAAAAAAATTAAAATCAGCTTTAGAATAAAGACCAAGCGAGACTATTAAAATTATATTCTGCAAGATCTTCCTTCTCTTTCTTTATGCTGTTATTGCCACGGACTTTATGCACTTTGTTTCCATCCGTACATACATTTATAATTAATCCAGCTTCATCCGTCTTTATTGAGGTCAAATAAAAGGTATGAAATCATGTCTTGAATGTGAACAGTGTGATGTTTTGATGTTCACATTGGGAGAGCATTACTATTATGATCCTAATTAACAACTTTTGCCTTATGTAGTTGCCCTTTAGAGAGAGAGAGAGACAGAAAGAGAGAGAGAGAGTCAGAGACAGAGAGAGAGACAGAGACAGAGACAGTGTGTGTGTGTGTGTGGTGATGATTAAGATTTTAGCAGAGTTCTGGAGGAAATAACACTAAGGGAAACAAGCCATTCAGAAGGGCAAATATGATTTCATCTTCCCAAGTGGAGCCCGAAGCAGTTGGAGTCGCAGAGCCCAGGGTAGAAGAAACAGGGAACGGTGGCTCAGAGGCTTCACCCTGCAGCCATGAGATGACCGCACTCTGGAGAGCACAGTGTCTACAGTTATTAACAACATTTAATCACATTTACAGTAGGATTGTAAAAATAGTTTTTATAGCCTATAAACTTTTTGCTATGGCCTGAGTGTTTATGTGCCTCTCCTCCCTGATCCTAATGGGACTGGATTCGTAGACCGAGCTTGCGAGAATTCGAGGAAGGTCAAGTCAGGCCACCTCTGTAGGGATGTAATTGGATAGAGCTAGTGTCTTTATTGGAGAAAGGGACCCTGTAGAGAGATAGCAACAAGGCGGCCGTTTCCAAGCACAGAGGAGTGTCCTCACTAGATACCAAATCAGCCTGCATCTTCACCTTGAATTGCTAAATTTATTCATCTATTTAAGCCACTCAGTCTGTGGCATTTTCTTATGGCAGCCTGCAGACGCCTAAGCTTTCATATACCTTAAATTTTTACATATATTTATTTATTCAATGTGTATGTTGGGGGTGTACATACTGTGATGTACATGTGGAGTCAGAGGATAACTTTTGGAGGTCTGTTCTCATTCCACCCTGTGGCTTCTGGGCATCACATTCAGACGGTTAGGCTTGGTGGCAAATGCCTTAACCTGCTGAGCCAGCTCAGCAGTCTTTTAGATACTTTCATGGTTTCATGTTTGTTTGTTTGTTTTTTTCTATTGGTTTGTTTGCTTTGTTTTTTGTGCATTCACAGTTTACAAAAATGTTTGCAATTACATTTTTACTCAGTTGTGTTTTCAATTAGATTAAACTGATTTTAGTTTTATGAGTATGGGTATTTTGTCTGCATATGTGCCTGTGTGTGTGTGTGTGTTTTCTGAAGAGACCAGAAGACAACACTGGAACCTGTGGAACTGGAGTGACAGGTAGTTGTGAGCTGCTTTGTATGTGGGTGCTGGAAACCCAGCCTGGATCTCTGGAAGAGCAGCCAGGGATCTTAACTACTAAGCCATCTCTCCACCCCCTAAAAATAATAGAAACACATATACTGCCTTTGCCTTTATGTAGTTGTGTATTTTTTTGTTCCTAAATTTTATTTATGAATTAATACAAAACATTCCAGACCAATGCATCTTAATCCTCCTCCTCCTCCTCCTCTTCATTCTGGTTAATCTGGAAGTAACACAGCTCATAGCTCTCTTTGCTGTTGGCGACAACATGCAACCAGTCTCGGAGATTGTTCTTCTTCAAATATTTTTTGGTGAGATATTTCAAATACCTTTTGGAGAAAGGCACCTCGGAAGTGACAGTGATCTTGCTCTTGCTCCGGTCGATGGTCGCAGCCCCTCCGCCGAGATTCCCAGCTTTGCCGTTCACCTTGATTCTCTCCTGGAGGAACTGCTTGAAATTAGCAGCGCCCATGATCCCATCTTCTACAGGGTGGGTGCAATCAAGGGTGAACTTCAAAACCTGCTTCTTTTTTTTTGTTTGCCCCCCCTTCGCCACAAGCTTTTTCACGGGTGCCATGGTGGCAGAGCTGTAGTTGTTTTTTTTAAGTCTGTTTTTTATTTTCGTATAAATCTGAATTGCTCCCTCTTGCTCTTTTTGTTTTCACCTAAAGGACTGTTCTTCCTTTTAGAGCAGGACGGAACATGCTTAAGTCTTCAGGAAGATAGTGTGCATTGTGCCTTAGCCTTTCTCTCCTGCTTCTGCAATGCCAGGATCAACAAGATGTGAGAGCTGAGAATCCTCTCAGGTCTTTCCTGGGCATGTGTTTTGGCCTGGGCTTGGGCACTGCCCTGTCCATCCGTCTGGGCTTCAGCAGTCCCTGGAAGATGGGTGGGCATATCTAAAGCATCCTGGTCCTCATAGTCTTCAGCGCCATCCTTGCCTCCGGCAGCTTCAGTGTCCAACAGTCGCTGCTGACTGCTTAGGGTTAAGGCTTGGGGAAATGGGATTTCTCCTGAGCGAGATTTCATAGTTGGATTGTCCAGAGAAATACAAGATAGGACAAATTAAGAGAGACAGATCTCTGGGACTGGGGCTTTGGAGGAACACAGCCAGTTTCTTTTGGACTTCCTGGATAGATTCTTCACATACCCTAACTTCTCTTTCATATTTAAAGTCTGTCTCCTTTCAATGCGTAATAAGAGATTTAAAAAATTCATATCCTTCACACTCTTGGCTCTCCTTAATATACGGGGGGAATCTAATCCCCCTGCCGTCCCTCAGGAGTGTGTTTTTATTGGCAAATTAAGTGCACAGATAAGGGGCTCCATTATGGCATTTCATGCACACATATAATACACGTTGCTGTTTCTTTTCTATACACCAGGAGTGTAATCACAACTTTTCCTTTCTATTTCCAAGGGAGGTATTTGAATTTTTACTTATTTATTTATTCTGTGTCTTCAAGGTTCTTTATTTATTTATTAAAGATTTCTGCCTCCTCCCTGCCACCGCCTCCCATTTCCCTCCCCCGATCAAGTCCCCCTCCCTTGTCAGCCCAAAGAGTAATCAGGGTTCCCTGCCCTGTGGGAAGTTCAAGGACCACCCACCTCCATCCAGGTCTAGTAAGGTGAGCATCCAAACTGCCTAGGCTCCCACAAAGCCAGTACGTGCAGTAGGATCAAAAACCCATTGCCATTGTTCTTGAGTTCTCAGTAGTCCTCATTGTCCGCTATATTCAACGAGTCCGGTTTTATCTCATGCTTTTTCAGACCCAGGCCAGCCGGCCTTGGTGAGTTCCCGATAGAACATCCCCATTGTCTCAGTGTGTGGGTGCGCCCCTCGCGGTCCTGAGTTCCTTGCTCGTGCTCTCTCTCCTTCTGCTCCTGGGCAGGAGTGCACAAACACTCACCAATAACTGAGAAGCTATTGTCAGTCTGTGGTTTCTATAGGAGGGAGAGTCAGCTTTCATTAAGGGTGTGGCCCCCTGAGAGGTTGACCATACTCCAGCAGATGCCCCCACCCTCTTGAATATATGGGCAACACAAACTGGAATTTGTTGTTGTTGTTGTTGTTTTTAATAATGTGAACTTGAGAGGGGGTGGGAGTAGGGGGTGAGGGATGAATTGGGAAGAAGTTGAGGGTAGAAGGGGGATTTAATATACAATTCACAAAGAATTAATAAAAGTACTATATTTGGGGAGCTGGGAGGCGCAGGCAGGCAACGACGGCGGCGGCCTAGACTGGAGGGGACCGGCGCGGTGGCAGAGGTCGCAGGCGGCAGGGACCAGCGCGCAACACCGAGAGCACATCGCCCCAATACAATTAAATCAAAGAGGTAGGCCTTTGGTTGGCGAGGGCCCTGGCAAACAGGGAGCCGGGACCTTTTCCGGAAAACCCTTCTTAGGGGTGAGAGGGTTCTTGGCCCCCGGCAGGAGCCAGGAAACAGAGCAAGGGCAATTAGTAAGAGAAGCCTCTGGCCAGCAGAGAAACCTGATCCGATTTTAAAAGACAAATTAGATAGCATTGAAAGGAGGAGATGGGCAGGCGCCAAGGCAGAACATCACCCAATAATCAGAAAAACAACATGAAAACACCAGATCCCAAAGATCTTACAACAGAAAGATTTGAACACCCTAACACAGAAGAAGTGGAAAAAATCGACTTTATGAAAGCAATAGAATCCCTTAAAAAATATGTAATAAACACCCTTATAGAAATGGATGAGAAGAATAACAAAAAGTTCGAAGAATTAAGTAAATATGTACATGAGACCCTGGGAAACCAAGAAAAAACGATCAAACAGGTTATGGAAACAGTTCAAGAATTGAAAACTGAAAGGGAAGCAAGGAAGAGAACACAAAGGGAAGAACAGCTGGATATGGAAAATCTAGGCCAACGAGCAGAGTCTACAGAAACAAGCATAATCAATAGACTACAAGAGATAGAAGAAAGAATCTCAGATTCTGAGGACACCATAGAGAAAATAAATGCACTGATCAAAGAAAACAGCAAAGCCAACAAATTCTCATCACAAAACATTCAAGAAATATGGGACACAATAAAAAGACCAAACCTAAGAATTATAGGAATAGAAGAAGGAGAAGAATCACAGCTCAAAGGCCCAGAAAATATTTTTAACAAAATTATGGAAGAAAACTTTCCCAACATAAAGAAAGATATCCCCTTGAATATTCAAGAAGCATACAGAAC